TCTATCTATCTATCTATCTATCTATCTATCTATCTATCTATCTATCTATCTATCTATCTATCTATCTATCTATCTATCTATCTATCTATCTATTTCTCTATCGTACAAAGGGAAGCGTCACAATTTATATTCTTCATCAGATATTATTAGCGTGATCAAATCATGGAGGACGAGACGGGCGGTGTATGTAGCATGACTAGGTGGGACAAGATGGGCCGGTGCCTTTAAAGCATATTACTTGGGAATTGTAATTGGAAAGATCTCTTGTGGGACATAGTCACAGATGGGTGGACAACAAACCTATGACGGAGATTAAAAGAATAAAATGCGAGCGTGTGGACTGAATTCAGTCGATAAATTAGTGTACTTAGTAACCGACATTCGCGTCCCTCGAAAATCTAGCCCTGGATTTATTCTAAATAGAGTGTTAAGAGGAAATCTCCAAATGGCACTGCCCAGTCGACTTACCTAGTCGATATAGTGACTAGGCTACAGGCTTGAAGACAAAGGAACCAAGTTTTTATTCCTGAGAAGGGTCAAAATTACTTTTCCCTCAACAGCATTCAAGACTGACCCTTTGATCCACCCACACGTTTCCTAAGTTTAAAGCGACCGGGACGTGAAACTAACCACACACATTCATCTAGTGCCGAGGTTAAGCACACGTAGAGCTGTTCCTCCACTCGCTCATACGTCTTCATGGTGTGGTGCTTAATTAAGCACAGGAAAACATCAGCTTCATACTACATGTTAGTTGGCAAGTAGCAAGGATCCAGCAGAGGCTGATCATTATGGTCTTCTTGGATGTTCCGTTGTGTAATTTGACTTGTAGACTTATACATATCTGGGGTTGGAACCTGCTGTCTGCAACTTTGAGATAGAAATAGCTTCTTGTTCTTGTTTTTCTACTACTTTTCGTATTAGGACTTCTGGTCTGTTTCCCATAGCAAATAATTTGGAATTATGGGTCTTATGGATAGGACTCCCTGTAAGGGGTTCAGGCCTGTCGCAAGGCCTACACAGAACAAGACAAACGTAGAAGAAACGCAGAGATATGCATACCTCGAATGGGATTCGATCCCACAATCCAAATGTTGGGCGGGCTTTGAACTTCGCAGATGCAAAGGAATGCAGTAGTTTCCCCGAAATGTTGGAAGGCCCAATCTGCATACACACGACCGATGGACTCATGTACTGTCTTATTACGTGGTCTCAAATACAGGGCTAATGAGCAGAGTGTAGTACCTGACGTCATCATCTCGTATCCACCGCATCAGATAAAATGTACGCAGTTTCAAGGGCACGCATAATGTGTGGACTAGATTCTTTGTGTCTTGCGCATTTTAAAAGATATAAAGGTCTGCTCGCCCCCCCCCCTTTTAAAGTAAAGTTGCAGAGGAGACCAAAAACTGAATACCATTCTGATGAACCTTTTTGTGTGACAACGTGACTCACGGCACAAGTGTGAGCCCCTGCGTTTGGTCTAAGTTGTCCAAGACCGGCGAAGCATCTGTGGACTAACACCGGGCTCTAAGGCTTATTTGTTTATTATTATGTTGCATGTTCTTTAGCCTACTTTCCTTATCCTGAAAATTAAATAAATGTAAGCTTGTGAGATCTCCTTGCTGTCTGTGTATCCGTATGTGTATCCAAATCTCGTTGCTAGGGGACTGCTCGCTAAACACATTCCCGCAGCAACAGATACACGCAAATATAGAAGAATTGTTGGACGCTGTCCATGTTGAATCAGAAGAAATTTGTGGGTCTGTCCGTGTCTCCACCTATCACTGCTACGCAACGGCTCGATAAAGATGTTCTCGCTGCAAAGGAAAACTGTTGTAGGCGTCGTTTTCTATGCGGTCCGTGTCGTATTAAAGGAAAGTATGCGATTATTTCCTCTTAGGACTTTCTGTTTGGTTCCCGTTGTTTCTTGCTTGAAATGATTAGTTGTTCATTTGCATTATATAGTATTTCTATATTACAATATCCCTTAGAGTTACTAATATATTTACAGCTGATTAAATTTGCGTCAACAGCAGAATAACGATCAATATAAGTCCCTCTATCAAAACCAGAGGGGTCTGCACTGTTTGTATTTAGTCGGTTCGCAGCGCCGTCAGGATGATGGCGGTTATGTCAGTGAACTCGGTGACACGCGGAGGGGACTTTCCTCCCCTCTCAGTGCGCGGCGAGTCTCACGCAATGGACTTGGTGTAATTTCTT